AGGCACGTGGAATGGAATGATTGTTATGGGTCCGTCAGCTCTCCCTGCCATAGCTGTTGTTGGTCTGACTACACAAATTGGTGACTTGGCCGTAGACTCTAACGAATAGCATAGGGTCCAATTGAGCACACAAGTTTTGCATATATAACCTTATTACTGAACTTGATAATGCATTTGTTTTCGTGATTGGGTTTACAGTTTACAGAGATAAATTACATGATCTGAATATTAAACATTTGGTTGATATGAGAAACCGTTTACAGTGAGTCCTCCATCAACGCAAATGGTCTGACCGGTTATATAAGAAGCTGCAGGCATACAAAGAAATGCCACCAGCGAGGCTACCTCCTCTGGCTTCCCTAAGCGCCCCAAGGGCGTTCTTGATATCACCTCCTTCATGAACTCATTATCAAAGGCCTATAGATAAATCAACACATGCATAGAAAGTCAAAAGATCATCAAAATAAAGAAGATCTTCGAGGAACAGAAAGTAGGAGCTCACAGTTTCAGCTAAAGGAGTGGCAATGAGTGCAGGAGCCACCGCATTAGTCCTTATGCCATCGCTTGCCCACTCGCATGCCAAATTCCTTGCTAGTTGATTCATCGCCCCTATATGTATAAAAACACACTAATATGTAATAAAAACCTCGACTGTTTGTTATATTTAGTGCATATCGTTTTAAAATGAATCCACGATTTTAAGAAAAATTCATTTGCTAATTGAAAATAAAATACCTAAACTGTTTGTTATGTATGCGTTTGGTGTTTGTCCTCATTAAGGATTTGATCATTTGTTCACTAGGGAACTCATTTTCATCATTTGAAAAGTAGAGTGGAAAATATAGATGTATGTTAATACTCCAACGAAAGTGATATTCTCATATTATTTTTTAGTATTAGAATTGTATATATATATTTTTAAGTGTGTATAAATACTCGTGTTGTCATTCTTCAATAATAAAAAACATTTATACAACTCCATAGGAAAGACTAAAGAAAAGTTTTCACTTCATATGTTTACTCGAGCTGATTCATGTCACAAGCACATGTCTCTTAATGGAAATTCTGAGACTAAAATTGTAACAAAATATACAGTGGATTTATAGGAATTCTGCCATCGTCGAGACATAAGCTATCAAATTGATAGCTGAACTCGTAAAGCTCGTGGTGCCATTTTATTTTGATTGTACTGTCCTCTATGCGTTCATATGAATTTTTTTAGGCCATTAACTTCTAAAAATAAAAATAACTTTCTATATTCATTTTGTTTTGTTAGATAACGTTTAACATATATATATAACCAGACTCAAAGAGAGGTGGTTTTAGTTTAGTTTTTTTCTTGAGTGAAATATTAGTATATGTACCTTTTGTGGCAGAGTAGATGGAGCTGATGCTAACGGACACAACCCCAGAAATAGAGGATATGAACACGATGTTCCCACATCCTGATGCCTTGAGCAGAGGATGTGCAAGCTGGCTAAAATGGTACGCAGACTCCAAGTTGGTCGACATGTGGAAGGAGAAATCCTCTGCTGTATGTTCTGTTGTTGGCTTTGACCGGAGTGCGCCAACATTGTTTATCTAAATATCAACAATATACAACCCAAGACATGAATCAGCCAAAAGTATTTGCTTTAAACATATGCACATATTTCCGTTTACTTTTGATCTGTCTTTGATTCGCACAACACAAGACAAATTAAATGATAGAGAATTGAGATTAATTACGAGGATACTGAGCTTGGCATCAAACAACGAGGACACAGTCTTGATCATCTTCTCTCTGTCGGTCCAGGATGATGCATCACAGACTGAACCAGTGACTTGAAATCCTTTCTGTTTCCATTCACTTAAACACTCGTTGAGCCGAGATTCGTCTCGGGCACACGTATGTATTATTGCCCCACATCCTGCAAGTTCCTCCACTATAGCATGCCTAGAAGTTTCAAGAATCAAACAACATATGATTAAATAGAGTCTAGTCTATTGTGCTTTCAAGCATGTATGGAGAGAGAAGAAATTAACGAACCCAATGCCTTTGGTACCACCTGTGACAAGTGCGGTCTTGCCTACAAGGGTCCATCTGCGGCTTTGCTCTTCTCCAGCCATTCCCCTCAAATTGAAGATAATATTGGTATGAGAATAGATGTGGTGGAAATAAAAGTAAAAATATGGGCGGCGTCCACCACAAATAATTCCACCGTAATGCCCACATGTTGACGCCAAAGAAATTGAACCCCCAAATTTTTGGCAAAAAAACCTTATTAATATTTGAGGTTTTTTGTTTTGTTTTTATTATAATGAAACTAGTTCGGTTTCGAGTGAGGGTTGGGTTTTGACAAGATTAAA